GAAATGAGGAAAAGACGCCCGAGGTGTGCAGGGCGCACTTTGTTGAAATCATCAACCTCCATCACAAGCTAAACCCTTACTCAGAGCCCTGAAGACCAAAATGAAATAGTCAGACCAAAGAACACACTACTCCGGTATTTAAGTTAAAAATTACAGGGGTGAGTAGCGCTTTGAAATGATATTAGTACTGCTCTAATAATAGACCTAATCCTAAAATTGTGCATTTGTCATGATGTAACTGCCTAATCTATAAGATCTTACGTGGAAGTCACATCATTGTCTACACTGACTCATCGTATTGTAACAATTACCAATATATGATGGAGAACACAATCGGGCTGGAGATAGAACAATATATTTACTATGAGCAAAAGATATGAGATAACATTCGACAAAGACCACGCCTTGAAGGCCAAGCCATGCCATCCGATCAACTCGAATTAATTCAATTCATTGTTCCCGCCTTCTCCATCTTTGAGTTTTTCTTCGCGTTAAATATTGCATATCTATTTTCCCGATTTTCTCATGTTCACCTTTGAGGATTGTGTGGTTATGGCTTAATGCCATTGCAAACTAACTTACTAGTTATCAGAGTGGACTGGGTAAAAGCCCGTGATAATGGTCTGTCTGTTTACTAGTTATTTCCAGATTTCACCGTGCATTTGGTGAGTTGTTTTGCCATATGGCTTGTGCATTTACAACTTAAAATAATGGATAAAACCAAATGAAAGATAAAAATCCTCTACTTCAACAGAAGGCCGATGAAAATCAAATGTGGATAGTGGCGTGCCGCAAGGATATAACTATTATATATCTCCTCTGTTAATAAATTATCAATATCGTTTAAGGCCTCAACACTTGTCTGCTGATTTTATGAAAATCTGCCGAACAATATATAACGGAACTAGTAGCCTTGATACACAAGTTTATGTAGACGAATTATTTAAGTAGTCCTACTGTTAGAGTTTAGATATTAGTTTAAGAAAAAAAGGACTAATCATTGTCTTATAAAGTGATGGTCAACGGTAAACCATTGGTGGGATCAAATTTTCATATGTGCGAAACGATACATAAGTGGGTGTGATTCATGACCACGAAATAACTCTACACTTTGGCTCATCGAAGATCAAAGGTTATAGAATATTGTGTTACTTTGTAGAGCCTTCGCATGTGTTGTCAAAGATATTTTTGTGACATTATGTCACATATATAAGAAATCAAGCAGCTTGACAATGTTTTATTAAGAAAGCTGACATATCTAAGCATGTTTGGTGAGCGTGTTCTGCTCTAGACTTGCTGAGCCTCTCACAAAATGTGAGAATAAAATGCTCATATGTTTTCGTCTTATTACAGAATACATGGTAACCATTCACCATTACTCATACAATAAATGATCGTTTGGGCGTTATTATTTGTTAGATGACGAAAAAGTTTCAGCATCACGTTCGACAAAACGCCTCATAAGATTCTACATTTCACACCGAGTGGTCAGCGTTAGAAACACCATGGCAAAAATCTCTTAAGGAGCCGGATCTGTACTGAGAAATATAAAAAATGATGTAATACATGTCGATCGACCTACTATCCTTATGACTGATGTCCGACACACGTGGTGTCACTTCACAATGGTACTCTGTTACAAATACAGCATTGTGTTTGGAGTATACTTCCAGAGCTTCAGGTATCTTAACCACGAAGAGCATTTAAAAATTTTCCTTCAACTTAGTGAAAATATTACTCATATGAATAAGCACTCTCTAGTATTATATGTCATAATATTTGATGATATTTTGTTTTCAGAGCCTGATAAAATCTTTAATAAAACTGGAGTATTGACAGCTATCCAGAGAACGCTTGTGTCTTCCAGAATCCAATAACAACCCGAACTATCTTTCAACCTCATACTCCATCCCTGGTACTTTAAATACGGTGTGCTCGCCTTGAACAGAGCCAATCAAGGTCGCGAGGGTGGATTTGACTTGGGTCTTACTCTTGGTCCGTCCATCAGGTTAGAGATCGGAAGACAGTGACCAAATTTGGTGTTGCAGCTGCGAATGTCAGCTCAAGACCAGCCAGCTTTCGTTGTTCTTGACACCAAGTTTGTCCATTAATTTAATATGCAATAACACACTTAAGTCAAGGCACTATAACTATTGAACTTTATTGGAAGCATGCCCCAAAGACATGTCTTAATTTTGCTGAGTTAGCAAGGCGTGGGTACTACAATAATGTTGCTTTTCATCGTGTTATTCGAGATTTCATGATACAAGGTGGCGACCCAACAGGTACTGGTCGAGGTGGAGCATCAATATTTGGCTCTTACTTCGCGGATGAAATTCACCCTGACCTAAAACACACAGGTGAGTCATTTGAAAAGTTAAATAATCATGATCCAGGTGCTGGAGTTGTTTCAATGGCGAACGCCGGTCCAAATACAAATGGCAGTCAGTTTTTTATAACTTTGGCTCCTACACAGTGGTTAGATGGTAAACATACTATTTTTGGACGTGTTGCTTCCGGTATGAAAGTTGTTCAGCGCCTCGGTAGAAGTTTTTCTTTTCATTCTTATTGTTTGTAGGTATGGTCGATGTTGATCAAGCAGAAAGACCTCGTGAGGTTATCAAGATAATCCGTGCGAACACAACGAATACTGTATAAATTACCTTATCGACACCTAAAGTTCTGTAAAGTTTTTTACATAAAGTTTTGCTTGTCTGAAACTGTACAACCTGAGATCTATGTATTAACCTGTAGAAAAGTGAGATCTATATGGCTTTCACAGAAATTGTAGTGTATATCATCTCTTATAGTATCTGCTGCTCCACAAATGTCGTTTTGACTTAAGTCTGAGAATTTATTCTGAATATTTGATGATAGTTATGCTTGAGTCTGTATTGTTCCGCTAGATTGGTAACCTCGTTATCACCTATCTCATTTCTGAGCCTACTAATCCTTGTGAATTGTAAAATGTTTAGTGGGTGCATTTTCTGGTTGTCTTGTGCAGTACTCACAACCGACAGCTTGGAGACAGCCCGAATCCTGCCCCAATGGCACTTATTCTACTTCTGTCCCCTACTCTTCATTATTCAGTTGTATTGCTTTTGGTTAGATTTTCATTGCAATTAAGACTAGCTTCATCTATCATCATGCTGATATGTAGTGTGGCAACGTAGAGCGAATACATGCCACAAACTTGTTAAACTACCTAGTCTCACATAAATGAAATATTCCTATTCATGTTGTTTTCAAAATGCTACCGAAGCTTACTGAACATACCAACGGGTCACTTCCTCTCACAAATCTAATTAACAAACGACAGTACTGGTGCATTAAGAAGCTAAAACGAAACTCAGGGCTGTAGCTTAGAAGGTAGTAGAATCATAATAAAAACGGGTCGAAACCATGATTAGCTACGACAACTATGACTTAGGCAAAATAACTATAAACTCACTGAAGCACAAGTTTATTATAAAATAGCTTGGTCTGCATTATTTTGTAAAATGTGACAGCTGAGAGATGCATGGGTTGCAAATACTAGGTCATATGTATCCTTATGGCATTGTCCAACTTACAAGTTGACGATACTAGTGTCGTTGGCCAAAAAAGTTAACTAGATAAAGTTGCAAACCGTTACGGATCGATGCCTGACTGTCGCATACAATACTACCAGACATAAACTGGCAAGAGGTTAACCGTAACTAGATGAAGCAAATATGTAACCCGGCAACTCATTTATATTTGTTAGTTGATGCAATTAATCTATCGATATTTTGAATTGCATACATTAGGGAAGTTATTGATTAATTAGTTTCAAGAACAACCGTTTCGCTGTATTGAGATCTGACTTCTGATCAGCTATGCTAATAGTATATGGTTCAGCGTAGTTTTTAAACCAACAGTGGATATAATTGGTGTATGCACATGTTTCCACCCTCATTTTCATCCTTGCACCGAGCAATATCGGTCCTTGTTTAGATACACAATATCGAGCAACTGGTCATTTACCCGTACTTACAACAAATCCCCAGTTTCCCTCAAGCTAAATCTACGGTAGTGGACCTTAGGAGGCACTTAAAATAATAGTACTGTGTGATATTGGCAATCTCATGCAGTGACTCCAAATTAGTTTAAGGTTCGCTGATACCAGTTTCACAATTTGTGCTACTGTATTCTCTAATCTATCTGGTGCTCTATGGACTCTGCCGTTGTTAGCGCAATTGTTGTCACCCATTCGTATTCATTTTAAATCCCCTAGCTGAAAGTAATTTAGAGTAGTAGCTTAAAATGATACATATAAGACGTCATACACATGTAGATGTGTGGTTACAAAATAAACTTATTAGTCCTAGAGACTGAAAAGTAACTCAATTACAGCTAGAGTATTCGGTAGTTTACACAAACAAATCGCTACACTAAAATAATAACCCACAGAGAAATGTGCCACTTTTCTCATAAGACCCGATATTAAGCACTGTCATGTCTCGATACCTTATCCACTGGTGGTTCGGTACTGTTCTTATGAGCTAAGCTGCCTCTTCAAGAATATTTGGTTACAAATTGAATGTAGTCTAGAACATAAGCACTGTTCCCACACTTCTAATTACTCAATAAAAACTACCCAACCTTATCATTTTCTAAGGCTGGTCTCCTGTCATAATACCTTTTAAATTCAACCTGTGTTTTGGGTTCCCCTCTTATTATTAATCAGTGAGTGGTAACCACGTTTTGCCACTGATTGGCTAGTTTATCAAAGTACACACTGCTTAGCATAAAACAAGCATCATATTATTGCCTATAATGAAATAAAAAGAAACATTTGAACACCCGGTAATTTTCAAATGCAGTGTACGTGGTTTGTTTTACATAGGGCTGAAGTTCATAGGAAAAAATTAGACATTTATAAAAGAGAAGTGAGATTAGCAAAAGCAATAACCCGAAATCATAGTGCTAAAGTGAATTATTAAGTAATATGAAGACTAGCTGTATTCCTGCCAAATACTTCATTTCCTTTTTTTCATAGTTAGATTTCCTTGTCTTGCTTGTTCCGCAAGCTGCTTTCGACGTTCGAAGGCAGCTATTTCCTCTTCCAAAAAGCGTTTCTTTTCTTCAAGTTTCTTCTTTTCCTCAGCATGCGTTTTCTTTAAACTTTCAAATTTGGTTTGTAGCTAAACATGAATAAAGTAGAAAGCTAATCAGTTTTATACAACATATGGAATGTTTGAAACAATCCACATCACTAGAAGCGGAAGCTGGATCAATAAATAGGGAGGTGCATCAGAGAGCTTGACGTTTTGGGAAATATTATTAAGGTGCTCATGTGTAAAAAACATTGCTGCGGTACCCAAAGTTTATGGTATCCAATAAGTACGCAGGTAAACATAATATAACTAAGGATGAAAGAATCCTTACAAACTGGTTTTATAAGGCTGTGCGTCAATAACTCCTGTCAAATTACCTTTTAGTCATCCCACTCCACTAATAATCGGAGGACTCGACAACGTCCCGACCGTTGTTGCTACCTTGACGTGGTGGTCGGGCTTGCCTGTCGTGATAAAGCGACCGAGCTATACTGGTTAGAACAACCGTGTCAGACAGGTCGGTTGATAAGCGGTAAGACTAAAAGCAACAAACTCGAGGGCGAAGTCGGACTGCTGGCTGTACAGAAGTGTGACAGCAGTAAGGCGTTTCCTTCAGACAACCAGCATGACAGCGATGCTGCCTTCTTGCAAGGAGGGGTGGGGTTGGAAAAGGTCGACCCTAGAAATGCACACCTTACCTTATCCCACGGATATCCGTCTCCGGCGGTAAGGTCTTAACAAGTGCGGAGCTAACACAAAAATTACTCATAAAAAGGTCGCGTGTGACCGACGTCAAGCAGTTGTCCCTTGGGCACTGCGGTTACGCTCTCAGGTCACTAACAGCACCTCTAATCCAATTTCCTTTGATAAATAGCTCACAAAACACTATTCTTGACTTTCACATTGGTAAACGATATAATTAAAATCCATCACAGATATCCCTGTATCACTTAACTCTTCTCTTCCGTTTACAAGAAAAGACGAAAATGGATTTAGAACGTTGGATTTTTTCGGTTATCCGCACATTATTCATGCAAAATTCGAAACTTAACTTATTGAAAGATGACAAGAGATATGAGAGCCATAATTTCAATTATAATTCATGGTTTGTAAGAATTCTGGAAATGAAGAACTTCGTCCTCGGACTGTTTGTAATCTAGAAATGTTAGTGCCCATCGGATAAGGTGTATCACTGGTTGATGATAAAACATGTGATAGAAAACCACATATGAACGAGCAGTTTTCATTGGGAAACCGAATAATAGTTTGGTTACTGAGAAGCTATTTACACGTGAAGAGTGGGCATACGGTGACTGACAAATTACTCCAAGGACTTGTGTGGCACCACAAGTTCATCTCATGAAGTTACTAACAAAGCCAAATACTATTCAACATTAGACTTATTGTATCCCAGATATTAGAACCTGTAATTATGAGTCGGGTAACCTAAAATCATTCGTCACTGTCAAGTCGCTTTATGGATTCGTACCAACAGGTAGATATACATTTTCGTTAGAATGTTAAGTGACTTGCCTCACGTTCTGCCTCTTTTAAAACTTGTTCCTTTTCTTTAACACGTTGAACAAACATTTGTCTCATTTCTTCTTCCTTTTGTTGTAATTCTTTTCTTTGAAGCTCACGACGCTTTTCATAGGTTTCCTATCGTGGAAAATAAAAAAGGAACATAAAAGGGGGTATAAATAATCAGTTTCTATGACACATGAACAACACAAGGTGCATACATGCACAAACTGGAACTTTCTAACTAAATAGCTTGAGTCGAAAAGTTCTATAAGTTTAAAAGTTTTGATAGTTGATTCTAATATTTGGGAATCTAATAAAAAAAAACAAAAGTAGACTTGTACACTAGACCATACCCATCATATGAAAATTAGTAATATTAATATTATACAACCAATTAAATCTTTGTGCTTTATAGGATTGAGCGTTAGTACAAAAAACCATAATAATGTGATTCGTGTACCTGACTTTCAAGTACTAGGTTGCATGTTCGAATCCCACTTTACCTGCATTGATTTCAATAACATTCCGGTAATCTAACAGAACCACAAACCGAAATTTCTGCTTAAAACTGAGTATATGACTCATCTAAACACATATCATAAACATAGAGACTGACACAACAATATGTGTCGCCCAAAGTTCCCATACCACATTGACACTGGATGTAAATAACAAAATGAAATACGAAAGAGGTTGAAATAATGTACGAGCAGTGACTAAACATCATCAGGAGTATGGCTTGAAAAAACAGAGTGGGAAGTTATGCATAAAGAAATACTTGAATTTAAGATCGAAAAGAAAAACCAAATGGATTTGGATCACTATGACCGATTCTCAGTTGTCATCCAATGTCTTTAACCACTTGTTACATCGCGTGGACCTCAGGAAAGTAGTTTACACCTACTAACATGACTTAGAATAACAAACAATGACTTGGTGAATTCATTTCATCTCCCGGTTTTTCGCCAAAAGCTTTCTTTCAACCTGTTTTAACACAACCAAGCATCCCCCAATAAATGAATCAGTACTCGGTTGTGGAGTTGTACTAGGTTTATTTATTCCCATCGATATTACAAATATTACTTAAAGCTTCTAGGATCACCTAATAAGTACCGCTTTATGTGCTCAGCTTCAAGCCACCTATTACCGTGAGAATTAGAGATATTAAGGGTTTGAACATTCAACGTAAAAGTTGATGTCAGATCGTTCAATTATCGAACCATACCCCTAAATAGTTAGTGTAACAAAGGTAATTTCGCAAACTTTTTCGGGTACAGAAAGAGACAAGAATTCTTACCTGAAGTGACATTTTTTCATCATCACGAAATCCCATTTCGATTAAGCGTTGACGTCGATAAGTCTCATAATGTACACCATGGGTACGTTCACGTAAATCTTCCATATTCACACGTAATAGCATCTCTCGAAGTCTGACAAAGTCACAGTGATTTTCGTTTTCTACTTGAACTGAACCCCATGGATATTGTCGAACACGTACTGTTTTTCCATTGATTTTAGCTTCTTCTGAGCTACCCACAACAGCGAACGGGATATGTTGCTACAACCAAGTAATTATTAGGGAAAATTACAGTGAATCTAACGTAGAATTTGAGGATTACATAGTCTGTCATAAACAACGTAAGAACGGCATTAAAAGTTTCACTGATCTGACACTTGTATTATATTCTCAAAGCAGACTTTATTTCACATTATTTTTTTTTCCATACAAGATAACTTAATAGATTCATATGTGACTTGATTGTTTGAAATGTACTGTAAAGATGTTAGTTTGGTAAATAAAGATATTTCCAATATGGAATCTAAATTATATTAATAGTAAAATTTCAGGAATCAACTCAGATGCACCATATTATTTATTCAACTCAAAAGGTACAGGTTTGTGTACTCGGTTTTGATCCAGATTCTAGGTGTGCAGGCTAGCGATACTACCAAACCACCCAAAACAAAGCAGGCAGAGCGGGATTTATATACTGGACTGGTTGAAAATCGAAAGTCTCAACTGCTACACCTGATTCGGTTTGGCCACCCAGGTAGTATACCAGCCCGCATATAAATTGAATGACTTATGTGGCGCATATCTATTTGGTGCCTGATTATATCAATGTGTATTTGTTCAAATAAATAAACTACTAAATTGGTGTAACGGTGAAAACTGGAAATTACCTCTCTAAAATTGTGTCCGGACTAACAGCAATAACACTGGATACCCAAATATTTAAAAGTACTGATTTTAAGGTGTTATATTTAAACTTGTTGGGGTTATGGGCCTAACATGGAAGGCATTTTTCACTAATTGATCTGTATTTTTATAAGGATATACGAATGATCCATCTGTAGTATGAACAGAACGACAACTCAATTAAATGCCGGGAAATTGTGAGATGTTAAATAACCTCTTATATTTATAAGGATACACAGTGATATCTTAGGAAAAATTTACAAATGACAGTAACCCTGCATACACAAACTGAAAGAAATTGGTATTCATGATATCTGAAGTCGCGTAGTTCAGACGTTTATTAGATAAGACATCTGGATTGATAGATGGTATAAACAAATCATAACTAAGATTCAGAACCTGTTGCTGAGTAAAATCAAGCACGGTACAACAATATTATGTCGTTCAGTTTACTGGCCACATCACATTGTGTTCAGGATTGTAAATAATACTTAAAAACTAAAGAAAAAAGGGCGAGACTATAATTTATGCACGAACTAATAAAATGAAGGACGGCAAGCACTAGGTTTGGGCGCGAAATTCATTCACACATATAGGTACATAACATTTCGGCATTATAGCTGTCACTTGGCGATGAAAACCCTTACTTTAATTCATAACCTTAAATTCTAACTCTAAATTCTAATTCATATTAACTTATTATTCTCTTTTGGCACTGATAAATAGGTGAATTGTTTCAGGGTCACTTTAGAGTCGCTCAAAGGTCGTCCATAATTTAGTCTCACTGAAAAAGTACTCGGAACATGAAGTTACACTGTTAGCATTGCTAAAACATATTAGTTTTTCTCCGGCAACCAGCAACACGTCTAGCTATAACTTTCCTACTTTATTATGGTGAGCTTCAAAGAGGAGCTTGGAAAAATTTGTCTGTATGCCTTGCTAAAACGAACGTGGAATTCACCAAATAACACTAAAATTCTTTTGTATCTAAGTGGCGCTTAGAACTTCCTCGGGTTAGTTTATCAAACACCAAACGAATAATCCTAACTTAGCTCAAGGTACTATGTATTCAAAATTCACAGCCGAAAGATAGCCGTCATATACATACCTACAGGAGTGCAATCACATGTGTTTAGCATAACGCCATGGAATTAGCAAACATTAATCCAAACATTATATATATACCTAAAACTTCACACTACAAAGAAACCTACATTCATTACACTATTAGTTTCACTAACAGCTTCATCATCAGTGGGAAACTGGTAAATACCAATTTCATTAGACTGTATTTCACTGAGGATCTAAAATTTATTGAGATAAAAATCAGTAAATGAAGAAACATACTCTTGCTTTAAATTTTTGTAATTCAGATTTGGTTATTGTATCTGATTTTGCTATTATAGGGATGACATTAACTTTGTTCTCCAATTTTTTCATTGCGACCAAATCAATTGACTTTAGACTACATAAAACAAGAAAAACCATCAACGACTGAAATAAAACAGTAGAAACAATTCAGGTAAATTAAAGCTATACCCTCTCCATACACCTTTATTTACTGACTGTAGTGATCGGGTTTATCTGTTGAGCTGAACAAACCAATGTTTTTATTGTACTAGTTTATATTTTCTTCTTGAATCGTGTATTTGATGTTTAACCTTATTTATTGCGATTGATACTATGTCTTCCCCTACCAATTTGGGATTGGGACTGACAACTTCATCCCTGTGCTAATCGGGTATGGTAACTTAAGCTAAAGCGCATACGTACCAGGTTCTACATTGTAACCGAATGATTGGTGAACATATCAAGCTACAATAGCTCTATTTATTTTAACACATAGATATTGTTACAAGGAGGCACCAAATAGATATGCGCCACACAAATCTCATTTGATATGTGTGAGGGCTGTGATACTGCCCGGGTGCCCAAACCGAAGCAGGTTTGGGTACAATAGTTCTACAAACGAATAGTAACTAATAACCGCTTTCGTGACTGTAGTAACAGTTGAATTTATCAACTGAAGACCTATTTACGTATGACAGAACTACTGAGTGACTAACATTGATGTTTACCATTAGTTGTGGAAAAAAGAATACATCAGTCGATGAAGCATTGATGTCTTACCAATTGTAGTAGATGATAGACATAAATGACTGAGGAAAAGAAAATAGTTCAAAATTGTCCCGTGTTAATGTGGCATGGGAACTTGGGGCAACACACTTTGTTGTGCCAGGCTCTATGTTGACGATGTCTCTGCGTAAATATTTAGCGAAATTTGATAGACGTTTGGCCTATTAAATGTGGGAGATTTTAGAAACAAACATTGACGTAGGGTTGAAGTTTACAATGTTTCAGCAGAAATGTCATAACTACAAGCACAGGATTAAAAATGTGAAGTTATATTATTTATCGTACATATTCACGGGGATAGTATCATATATTTTACCCATAAATTAAGTTGCTCGACATTATCTTCCAGTCAATGGGCAGTCAGTAATAAAAAGTTAAGGGAAATGAAATACTCACGACTACTATACCGTTTCTAAAGTGGGTGTTAATTCAGACCTACCAGTGCTTGGAATGTCACACTCCAATATGAAAATAACTTGACATTCAAAAAGTTTTGAAATTATATCAAACTAATTTTTTGTACCTATTATAAGCCACCCAGTAGCCCCACTCGTAAATATATGCCAACATCGGCCGAACGAACTGTAAAATTTGAAATATTAGTCTGTCACCATGATCTTGGAAGGTGAGTTTTGAGCCAAATACATAGTTAAATAGATGTAAATACGATATTACATTTAGCAACTACGAACATATGTCTACAATACTATAAATCTTACTTAACGAGAATGTGAGCGGTAATAACTAGTTACTTGTAGCATGAGGTAAAACTTTGGAAAACAAAATATTGTCTGAATGTACAGCAAGTAGGAAAGTTACCTGTGTCCAGTAGGTGCAATAAAATAAAGACAGACATGAACCCGTGTGTCATGAAATGCTTGCATAGACCTTTTCATTTTCAGTTCTTCCTGTAGATAGTTTTCAAACTGGTTATCGATATAATCAACAACAGGTCTTATACTATAAAGTATTAGGTTAATATCGAAATATTACTTATTTTCTTTATTGATCTGATCACCGTACCCACAAGTCTCTACTACCGTTAACTTAAGCTTAACATTAGCTTCTTTGAGATCTGTGGAAAGATCTGAATGGAATAAACATTCCTACCATATGTCACAGCTTTTAACTTGGGATCTGCAAGATCATGACTTGATGGACTGAAATCAAACTTCTGGTTAAACAGAGTCTCTAGTAAAGTGGACTTCCCAATTCCTGTCTCACCTACAAAAATTTATATGGAACAAAATAAACGAACCGACACATAGAATATTAAACACGAACCCTTGGCTGATAGCCTTGTTGACCAATTGATCTGGCAGACTGTCAAAACCAACATGTCCGGTTAGTTTAAGAGTGCGCACATCAGGAGGCTAAGATATTTACATAGCAAATACAACAAACCAATGCTTTTAGAACATCTGCGGTCATTTTTCAAACGGACGCGACTGAAGGCGTCGAGTTTAATGTCCAATATACTGACGAAAATGTATGAAAAAATAGGACTAAAGCAGTTCACAAAGAATATTAAACTGGAAGTTACGCAGTATCCTTCTTAAAATATACATCAAAACATTCTAAAAAATGAAAGCGGTATAGAAATCGAATACATATAGTGGTCATGATTGTTTGAAAACAGCAAACATTTTGTTTTTACTTTGATATATTCGTATGCAAACAAAATACCATAAATACCAACAAACATTTTTGAACTGCTTCATGTACTCCTACCGTGTGTACAATCATTCCGAGAATGGTTAACCCTATTCTAAAAGGACAATAGTATTTTTCCTCTGAATAATATTTATGTTATTGATAGTTAAATTACTCATCGTGACTACTGTTTTTTTCCTTTAATTGAATTCTTTCAGTTAAAGTAACCCACAAGAGTACAGATTTTTTCTAGAGAAGTTCATCATCTGTACTTGACGATTACAGATATATAAAACTAAAGGCACCGGTACTTAGTCTTCGTCGTTGAATATATTTTTGAGCATTGTTTGTATCCATAATTGTTAAGAGTGTCCTGTGGCTACTGAAGCCGGATTTTTTATTGTTTCCTTGTTTTATTTATATAGAAACATAAAACAAATTTATGGCGCAATTGAAACACCGTTGTGGTAGACCAACATGCTGTTTCCCGGTTGACGAAGGGATGCAATGTGATAACTACAATAAGTGGTATCACAGTGTTTGCACCGGATTCACACCGGCTGCATATAAAGGGTGCTGCAAGCCATTATCACGTTTGTTGTGTAAACAATGTTGTTCTATTCAGTCTCTGCTTATTCTAGTGGCGATCGAGCAACCAAACCGAGCTAGGAAATTGCCTTTTGATAAACAGGTGGCAGCAGGTAATCAGAACTCTGCTTTTCAGAAAATTGAGAGCGTTATCATGGGTTTAGCTCTAGACTTAAATGTGACCATAAAGGTGGACCTCATCAGGAAAACAGATAAGCATATGGATGTAGGCATTGCTACATGGAGAAAGAAGAATCACGCTGAGAAGAAACCTCCTATAGACAGTACAGAGGCACGTCGATCTGCGGGTTCAGTTCTGGATTCACATATTAATGTAATACAAACTATAGGGCAGCCAAGTCTGAGCAGTGTAGAGGAAGTTATCAAGAGACAAAATAAGGTATATATGTGGCTCACAGTCACACCTAGGAAAAGAAAACACAGCGTAACCTCTGAGTTTGACGCTGAACTGAAATCGGAGTGCAAGGAAGAGACGGTTTCAGGAACCAAAATTCTACAGCGTATCAAGACAGACTTCGCTCAGAGGTCAACAATTTTTTATAAATTAAGAGAAAATTCCGATAGGGAACAAAGGCTAGATTTGAGCACGACCTCAGTCATATTAAGTCCCTAATAAGCAAGCTACTTCCAGAAACAGTTTCAGAAGTTAGCATCTGTAAGCTTTATAGAATAAAACAAAAGGTGGATTCCGAAAGTCCTCGGAAAGCCGCCCTTTGAAGGTTACGTTTGCCACTGCTGAATAAAGGAACCTGATTCTAGGTAACTCACTTAATCTGATTGGATCCGGAGTATACATCCGTGAGGATCTCACCCTAGCTGATTTTATTAAGAGATGAGCTGCAGAAGTGGAGATAATCGAGTGCCACCAAAACGGTGAACGAAACGTCGTTCTTAAGGGCGAAGGCGGCACAGGTATTCAGTGTTTGATAACGCTTTTACCAGTAAAACCTTATAATATAATTCGTACCCACCAAAAGAAATCAAAAGACAGAATCAAGGAGATCAGAAGTTGTATTTGACGATTGCCAATATATCGGAATTGTCTGATCTAGTCTGGCTAGCGATTGCAGTAGATGTTGAGCACGACGTTCCCACACGTGATCTGGTGCGGATGCATGACCGAGCGCCTTCAGCTAGGTGAGTCCGCTAAAACTAATGTGGTTAGCATCCAATGTCGAAAACTTACAGAGCCATTTATTTGGGGGATTTATTTACCGCTACAAGGGTTTTCAAATTGTAGAAGTTCGTAGTAAAACGACCCCAAAACCACTCTGGGTGGTAAGGGAAAGTTCTTCACATACTCAAAGGTATGCTACGCAAATGCTCGCAGCCTACTAAATAAAATGGCAGAGTTCAAGTCAATGATGATTAAAACAATGCCGTACATTATTGCTGTCTCAGAAACCTGGTTAACGTCTGAAGTATTTGATAATGAAATTCAGTTGACTGGTTTTTTATCCAGTAGGGCTGATAGATTAAACCGTAAGGGAGGCGGGGTTATCCTGTACACGAAAAGTACCCTAACCACAAGAGCAGTTAGGACAGTGTGCACTGGTGCGATGCAAGCTGAAATGTAGACGGCAAGATATTGAATTAGCTGTGGTATATCGCAGTCCAAAGTGTGTAGTAGATGATTTTCTCCTAAGTAAACTTAAGTCCTGGTGTAACAAGGGTAGAAGCCTTGTAATAGGCGACTTTGATGCACCGTACATAAACTGGTTAACTAGAAGTAGGGTCGTCGGTAACGTCATTCGAATGCAAACTGTTAGAAATATCGATTGATTAACTTTATCTCAACACATTAGAAACCCTACAAGATATGACTTAAGAAACTCTTCTTCACCATTAGATTTAATATTCACACACGGTGATGACGTTGGTCGAATGATCTTTCTCCTACCACTAGGGAGAAGTGACCATTCAGTCATCGTACTTAAATTCATGGCTGAGATTGCCTGTCAAACAGTTGCACCGGCCCGTCCCAACATATGGAAGGCAGATATGAAGGCAATTAACTCCTCAGCATCGGCTGAAAACTGGGAAATTGACTCAAAGGCATTAGTACAAAAGGCATAAACTCTATTCAGGCAGTTATACAATCGGGTAACTCAACCATACATACCCTGGACAGTTTCAAAGAAGAAGAAGCACGATCATCCCTGGATAGGCCGGGATATTCGAAGTTTACTAAGACAAAAGAAGTTTTGGGGTGTTGCCATCCACCTTGGCACAGAAAGTACGATGGAACGCTACAGATCGGTAAGAAACAAGTGTATAACAAAAATTCGGGAAGCTCAAAGAAAATATGAAATGCAGCTGACACAATCTGCACTCAAGCAGCCGAAGAGATTGTTCTCGTACATAAACTACAGAACCGGGATGCATCATTGGATTCCCAACCTAATTAAGGAAGGGAGTGGATCTGAAATGATAGAGGAAGATCAGGAAAAAGGAGAGGCTAAGGCTGACTATTTTGGGGCAATTTTCACTCAGGAACCTTCTCTAGACAAAGAAGCAGGCCAAAATAGAGAGTCAACAAACCACTTGCTCACCATTGACTTCGACCAAGACTATGTACGTAAGGCTCTTAGCATCTTGGACATGGAAAAGTCAACAGGACTAGATGAACTTTTCGTTCCTCTATGTAACCCTCGCGCTATTGATAGAAGAAACCGACAAATAGTGAATAGGTCTTTATTTAGATCTTTGCGCAGTCACAGTGGAGCGTGGGGTTATTTGTTCAGACAAACAAAGCCTCTCAAAATTCAATATAAGGTAATAGGAAATATAACGCCTATACAAAATAAGGAGATGAACGAATACTTGAACTATACTGTTTTGACAACCAACCTAAGCTGTTACTAACTACACCCCAAAATCTTGAGACATATTGCACAATATATCGCGGCTCCACTCACCGTGATATTCAACATGTCACGTGAGCAAGGTGTGTTACCTATGGACTGGAAGGACGCAATTGTCACTCTCATACATAAAACAGGTCCACGACAAGTCCCATCGAATTACAGACCCATAAGCCTCACCAGTGTTGTAATTAAAATACTGGAAAGGATAATCAAACGGACCATAACGGCATTTATGGAAACCAATAACTTGCTGAATATGGCACAACATAGTTTTAGAAAGGGTCTATCCCGTACAAAGAACCTCCTTATAGCAAGGGAGTTCTGGATTAATGCGCTAGGCAACGGAAACTCAGTGGATGTTGTTTACATAGATTTCAGTAAGGCTTTTGACAAGGTGCCAACTAATAGACTGCTATTGAAGTTGCAAAACCTTGGTATTGTCGGACCTCTTTTAGAATGAATTAAAGATTTCCTAGTAGGTCGTAGACAAAAACTAAGAATAAATTCCAAGTGCTCCATCTGGAGACCAGTACTTAGTGGAGTACCCCAAAGTTCCGTCTTAGGTCCTTTACTTTTTATAATGTACGTTAATGATCTTACAAGTATTGTACAGTCCCCAGTGCTAATTTACGCTGACCATGTAAAAGTCTGGAGAGTAATAACTGGAGACACAGACGCATGTGCTGGTCAGGCAGACATAAGTAATATGATTAACTGGTCTAAAGAGTGGCTGATGCCTATCAACGCGGCAACGTGTGTCTACATGCAATTTGGGGATTCAGAGGTTAATAGGTACAACATAGAGGAAGTGCCATCACCCGTGTTCCGGTCTCACAATGTTCTTGGGGCGATAATGAGTCATGATCTTAAGACGACGGCACACTGCCGGGAGATCGCAGTTAAGGGGTTTCGAACCCTCTGGGCTTTAAAAAGGACATCCACTAAGTTTGATACCATGTTCACCACATTATACACATCCTTAGTGAGAACTAAACCTGAGAACTGAGTTCAGGCTGCAAGCCCCTTTTTAGAAGGTGACTGGGATATCCTAGAAAAAGTACAGAAAGCAGCTACCCGTGCAATTTCAGAACTCCGGAGTTCACCACACAAAAAGTGGCTTGAAAAGCTGGACCTCTTTACTCTGTCCTATCGCAAACTAAGATATCTCACCTTGATGTACAAAATACTGAGAAGTGATTTTGAGCCTAACTTATACCCACTTTTTCTTCCCACTAGATCGGAACATCCCAGAGGATTCAGCAGGAGAGTAGAAGAGGAAAGAACGGACAAAACACCCGTGAC